TAATTTAACGTAATACTTATAACGTTATAAAAATGCTTTGGTGTCCTGGTATGGACACTAAGTATCGTTATAAAATAATCCACATTAAAACAATTTAAAATGTTTATCTTACATTTGATCGATTCCTTAAATACGGATTCATGGAAGGCGATCGCCCCCTTCGCCCCCCTAAAATACACCCCTGCATCTAAGACCGAAGCCTTTCATGATAAATTTAAAGCATACGATACATATATATTTTGTTTATACGTGGGGTTTTCAAATTGCATGTGACAGCTAATGTATAAAATGTACATCAATCATGGTTTGAAAACATATATATGTATATGTTGCTCTTTAAATGTTAATAAATATCATTTATATTCCCCTTTTAACTAGTAAAATATTTACTAACTTCAAATTCAGCGAGCTTAGTTAATTGAAAATATTTTAACATAATATGTCATTTGTTTTTAGTTAAAAAATTAAGTTAAAATATTCATTAAGAAATGTACTGTTTCGTACAGTTCAAAAGACCCTGAATAAATATATATATATATATATATATGAATATTTTCGTATATATGTGTATGTGTGTATGTGAGTAATTCTCGACTTGTGAAACGTTTTCAGACTGTTATATGCACATTAGTTTTTGAATCAATAGTAATACATAAGTCCATCATTGAGCAGATGACACCTAACATGTAAATTATTAAACTTCAAAAGTGTCTCATATAGCAAACGGTATTAATGCTTTGCATAACGCCGTTTTGTTCATGCGTATTTCGTATTAAAATATTTATTATTCACTATTTTTATTTACTCAGCTATTTGCCATACATGTAGAACACAATTAATACCATTGAAAATCCACGGGTAGAATTTACGCCTTTTCCAATAACGATTTCAAGTAATAGTATAATCTAAAACTTCGATTTACTCGAAAACATTTGGTTTTCATAACTCGATAACCTATTCGTAATCATAAACTCACAACTAAATTATATAAATATATAGAATTGACGAGTTGAAATATTAATAATAATCTATTCATGAAAAAACATTACACTAATTATGCATTCAGCCACTCGTGTCAATATGTTACTATCAACACCAACATTTTGTCCGAACTAAAATTAGCATTTGCTTTGTATACGAGTATAATAATTTTCATGGACGAAATATTAATTATTTATACGTTCTCGGAAAGTATGAAAATATTTAATACAACTTTTTAGGGTACAGCTATTTTGCTTAATCAATAGATACTTATGAACATGACAGTTTTTTAAGCAAGGACAAAAATGAACGATTTTCACCTGCTTTTTCTGTACTTATGATATTGTATTTTTTGTTAAATTTATTGAAAAATTCATAATTATTAAAGAACATTTAGCCAAATATTAGCTTCATTTTCAATTCAACACATAACGCATTTTCAACTATGATCAGTCTTTTGATTTTTTTAGTTAGGCAAGTGCATTTTAATAATTCTATATTCTGAATAATTCTAATGTACAAATATCGACATAGGAAAAATACATTTCTCTAACTATAGCTCCCTAACTTATTTCTACGTATATAAAAGTTTTTATTTTTAAAAACCTATATATCATTTGAATCGATCAGCATTTATTTTAGTTATAAAATATAATATCAGCTGTGAAGAACAATTTATGCTTGATATTAAATGTATCTATACATTATATAAAATTGTTGGTAAGTCGTGAAAACTGAGAAAAAAAAACTTTACACGTATTACATCAAATAATACATTCAATTTTAATAAGTTTTTGTAATTTATTATTAATAAACTATTATTTAAAATAGGTGTCGCTGATAAATCGAGAGTAATTGTTCTTTTGCAATAACATCGAATCCTTTTTTGATATATCAATCAATATACCCTCGATTTCACCACTTTGAAATAGTGCCGACATAAATCTGTAGACAATAAAGACGAAAACATAAAATATATTCATGTTAATTTAAAAATAGCTTTATTCACCTAACCAATGACAAAAACAGATTATTTCCTATTGTACTCGTTCAAACAACACCCTAACGGAATTAATTGTTAAAAGATCATTAGCCCGTTTCCTGTGCGCAATAAAATAAAATTGGACATACGTATAACAATTATTACAGCGTAAATGATTATAAAAGATAAACCAACGGAATGGATTGTATGATATAATGAAACGGTAAAATATTTTGATGTTCCATTAGGGGATAAAATAATGGCACTACTGTGTTGCAAGGAGTAGCTTTCTCAAATAATATGTCTGCTGCATTTTTGAGTGCACAAGTCACGATTATGAAGAGTTTTGATACAATAACACTTAAAAAAAAAACAATATTCAAGTCACTTATTTTTTTATAACCTACCACTTCGTCGTTGTTGGCTAACTCAATTTTATCATTAGCCATAGAGTTGATTTTGAAGACTTCTTTAGAAAGTCTGACCTTTTTTTTTATTTCATATAGAACAAAACAATAAAACGCTTAATATGTTTATAACTAAGATTCACGAAATTTTATGAGGAGTGGACGAGTTAAGTTTATATTATACACTAATTTGTATTATGGTTCACATCAAATTTCGTTTACAAATAAAACTGAAACATCAGTAATTGTAGTTTTATCTATCCTTACTCGTGTAAGTTTAGTAGTGTAATATTATTATAGTTATGAAAAAAAAATTAAAACAATTAAATCTATAAAAACGAAATCAACATCGAGGTAATTGAACTTAAATTAAAATAATAAAGAGTAGGTAAAGATTTAAGATAATAAATATTTAGTTCACTCGAATGTCCCATAAATAAATATTTTTTTGTTTTTCTCACTAAGTATATTAAATCTTACATTAACTTGTCGTAATATAACCGTTTTGAAATGTGTGACACAAATAATTTTATATAACAATTACCTGGTTTAACAAGAATGTTATTTGTATCTAAAACTTTCAAATAAACAATCTACAAATTAAAATTACTAAAAAGCTTATCTAGTTAAATTTTCTTTAAAAGTTTACCTTCGATCAAAAAAGATTTGTAACTTTTAGTCGCGGAAAAATCATTTTAACTATAGGCTTTAATGAAAACTGTAGATACTTCTTATTATTACAATCAAGTAAATTGATATCATTAAGGTATTCAAAGAATGTGTTTATGTATGATGATTTATAACTACTTTCTCTATATCAAAATCTTTTAATTATATAATAATACACTGTACTCATAATAATATTATGATGTTCGTATATGAATGTATTTATTTATTTACGAGTATGTGTAAGTATGATTAACTTTAATTTAAAAATACGTGTTATAGTCTCCTCGATTATTCAAACTAACAATGATAAAATCAATATACTCCGATGTTTATTTAAAACATAATTGCTTCTTTCATTGGATATAGCATTTATGTACATTATAATTAAATGAAATGTATAGGAATGCAAGAGAATTCAAATAACAATCTCGACACTGATATTTAAACAGTGAACTTTGGTATTCCGATAAAACGTGTGTCCGTATAATAATAACTGATAATTATATGCCGTAAAATGAATGAAAATAAACCAATATTAGTTTTTAACATCTAGGTATAGAGGATTAAGTTTCAGTTCATACGAGTCCTTATACTGTGTAAATAAAACCATATCAGAAAGTTTTTACGGACAAAAACTTAATTATATCAAAAACAACTAAAGTTGAAAGGGGAAAACGTCTATGAGACATATTTTTTAAAAATTAAATTCGTTAATTAAATGATTATTATTAATAAATTTTTTTTTATATTCCATAACGCAAGGAGTTGTAAAAAATAATATAATAACTTTAAAACATGATTTAATATAAAGATTAAACATTTTTTAAAAAATTATACGTACCAAAATGTATTGGAAAAACTTTTATTTAACCGTTCTTCATATATTTTTTACAATTGTTATTTTAATTAATATACACAAGTATATATAAATTTTCATCTATGAACGATTAAGTTAAACATTTTTTCGTATATCTCACTACATTTTTACTTTCAACCCTCAAAAAAAAAAAAATCATCAACCAATTATGGTTACAATACACTTTCGGGGACACTAAACTAATCGAAAACATTAATATGTTAAAAAAGATTGATGCATCAATATATACAATTTTTGTTTGTTTGTTATAAATAATATTAAAATATTATTTTATAATTTAATATTAATAAAATAATACAATAATTGATATGATTTTTTTAGAGCATAAAATGCGTATACAGGGTTTAATTCATTAAAGGAGGAAAAATCGATAAATTATTTTATCGTTTTAGTGTAAAACAATCATTCAATGTCGATTAAATCGATCATATATTTTCATTAGTTAGTTCGGATATCGAGTGCGGCGGAAACGGGTCTAAAAATACATTGAACTAATAACAGATGAACATTTAACGACGATCGTTGTGATTGCGTTACCGTTATGGTACAACATAATATACGGAAAGATTTTTTTTTTCCACCGTCAACCGTTATGATATCCTTGGTCAAATTATTCCCGTATTTTTCCCAAAACGATTATTTCGATTGGCTTGAGATGGTTGTGAATGATTGCGAAACAGAACGCCGAACTCGATGCGTACGTTGACCAAAATGATACGTAGCACGTGAAAACGATTACGAAAACGACTGTTAGCCAACGAAGACGACTTTGTTTGCTCAACTGTCGTTTGCGTGTGCTGTCGCCCATAACTTTGGATGCGAAAACAATATTTTCCGCGAGGGACCGCGGGGGTAGGGGACGAGGGTGAACCCGGGATCGTTCTGCGTAACACTTGTCGACGAACAGTACGCGGTACCCCGAAAACGGTGTCCGCGCAACGGTCGCGGAGAACGGAGGGCGAAAATCGCAAACAACGGGGAACGACACGCGCGCGTGCAACAACAGCGGCCGCAAGTGTTCGGCCATCGTTTGCACAGGTGCGACGACAGCGCGCGTTAGTGCACCCGGTCGTCGGTTGGCCCGGCCGCGAAGACAATCGAAGCTATCATGTCGCGCGCGAAGCACATAGCCGCAACGTTGGCGTGCGCGTTGGCCGCGACCAGTTGGCGGTGCTGCGACGGTGCCGCGCTGACGGCCACGCCTGGCGATGACACCGACCGCGTGGACCCGGCCGCCAAGTACGACGCGAACTTGGAGTTTCTGAAGAACGTGGCGAGGCACGACGCGTTGTGGGCACCGGTGCTACGCGAGAAGGTGAAAGTGACCGGCACGTTGACCGAGCACGTGAACCGGTACACGACAACCGAGAAGCTGAACCCGGTCGTCGAAGCCGTGGACCCGTTCCTGGAACTGGTGAAGGTGATGAAGTCCAACGCGTTGGTGGGCACGAAGGTGTTGTTCACGGTGGTCGCCATTCGCAACGCGCTCGCGTGCACGGTGCTCAAGCACCTGTCCATCCAAGCGTTGGCGTTGCATCGGCTGATCCTTGCGAACCACCACGTGGTGGCCGTTCCGCACGTGACCCGGTGGCTGGAGCACATGGTCCGTCTGGTCTTGAACAAGCTAGCCGCGCTCGGGTACCGGTTGCCGATAGTGGCTCAAGCCCATCATCACATAACTATGCTGCTGTTGCCGAACGCGGACCCCAAAAACAACGATCTGTACAAAATGGCCACGGATATGTACGCGGAGATTGAGAACAGGTGTGCGGCCCCTACCGAGGGCCACTACTGGACAGTGGTACAGGAACTGAAGCACGAGCGAACGGTGGACGAACTCTATTACTTGCAAGCGCAGTTGAAGGATAAGAACATTGCGGGCTTGGAAGACCTGGACCGCATCGATCAGATAGTCAAGTATAACGGTGAGCTAGAGCTGAAAGACGAAGACATACGGAAGGATTGGTTGGAAAAAATGGGACCCACAGACCTCAGGAAGCTGGCTACTATCAACCGGATCCAGATGAACTATCTGATACTCAATCTGCCGATCAACGCATTAGTTGAGACCCAGTGGAGCAACCTTTTCAAACTCAAGGCGCTGCACGCCGAAGTCGCCACCTGACCACCTTATCGTGGTGTGACAATTCGGGTTCAGTTTTCTGGTACCGGTCCAATGGTGTAGGAAAATAACTTTATATTGCATTCGCGTATAAATAAAAAGTGTTTATTTTACTTTCTTTCTTTCTTTCTTTTTTTTTTTTTTTTTGATTTCAATACATTTAGTAGTAATAATTATTGTATTCGAAAATTATGCACCAACATTATACACTGTCGTTTTTGTTGAAAATATACTATTGTACGAACACAATATTCTAATATTTTCATGTAAACCATTTTTTCATGATCTTTATGAAAACAGCGTTTTCATTCATCGTTAAAAATAATAGGTAAAATGTCATAAGTTGAGTTATTAATATGATCAAGGTGATATAATCACGATACAACGATGTGGCCAATCGAATCAACCGCGTAATATTAAAGGCTATCGCTAAGCCACTCGACTCTGGCTCTCGTCTGGCCGACGTCAAATAATATTATTAAAAGTATTTCAGCCGTAGCAAAAACCACATCTGAAGACGAATTATAGTTTCTAGTATTTTTAAAAATTGGTGATAACTAAAGCTCGGAAGTAGATGCATATTGTATTTTTTTTTTTTCGAACTTTTTAGAAGATGCTATCCAGGCCACAAATGTGTTTCATTAGCATGTAAATCCAAATAACTAATTTTTATTTTGCATTTTAATTTATTTTTTGGTGTTTGTTACGTTTTATGTCATTTTTTGACACTTTTAGGTAATTTTTCCATATTTTTAGTCATTTTTACTAATTTCACACTAGTTCATTTCTTATTGTTTCTTATAGACCATTATGCCGATAACTTAAGACTTGCCCGATTTTATCTCGTCTATTAAATTTGTCGTTGTCGTGTTGTAGTGAATAGTATTATACCTAAATTTTATTATTTTTTCCTAATATTCGATTAGTATCCGATATTATCTCGTCGATTACAGTCGTCACTTCATTGTCATGTTATAGTGAATAATACCTATTATATCTAAATTTTATTATTTTTTCGTAATATTTTCGAAATAGCAAAAATTAAAACGTCGGTTAGTGTTCGTTTGCGTCTCCCAATCACTTCAGTGGATGTGGAGAGAAATTTTTCTAAATATAAATATTTATAAATAGATAATCGTCATTGATTTACTTTTAATAACATCAAATACGCTCTAATCATACAATGCAATGATTTTGATTTTTGAGTAATTTGTAAGTTTTAATAAATTTATATAGAATATTATAGTAAAATAGAATAAAATATTTTAAAAAAATGTATTTTTATTAGTTTAAAACAAATATTTGGAATTATTAAGGTAATTTTTTTAAGAACATTTGTTGTCATTTTTATATCATATTTGCCTCTTTTTTTAGGTAATTTTTTAATGTTTTTAACTTCCGAGCCCATAATCCTAACGATATTATTCGTTAACGATAAATAATATCAATCATATTGGTTCGACTGTTCCGTTGTATGATGAAATCACAGTTTTTTTTTTTTTTTTAGTAGCAGACGTATATTTGACAAAGCGAACACTCATAAGTGTCATACACGATTCCCGTTCCGCGTACAATACTTGAAAACATGTAATTCGTCGAAATTATACTAACATCAATGTCCCAAAAATAACTTATTGATTATTTTGTTTAACAATCGGTAATCATAATGCTCTTATAGCTCAATATATGACGCTTTGAAACAGGAGATGCAATTATATATTACAAAAATTAGTCATTAATTAAAAAACGTGCTGTTACATAAATACGATTTTATATCTAAAATCGAATCGCTCGAGTAACACGATACGTAGAAGATTCGCGATGCGTTTTGTTTGATTTACACTGGTCTGTTTTTAATACGTCCGTCCCCGTTTTGTCTGTTTCAGTGGGCAAGACAGACCCTTGCCGGGTGGTGAAGTGCTCGCACGGACAGCACTGCGTCTTGGACAAATCGGGCGGAACGCGTTGCGAGTGTCCCGCAGAGAACAAGTGCAGCGAAGACGTAGACGAACCAGTGTGCGGAAGCGATTGGCGGGACTACCTGAGCGCGTGTCACGTCAGAAAAGCGTCATGTTTGTCGGGCCGAAGCATATCAGTCAAATACAAAGGACCCTGCGGTAATAACATCAACAGCATATTACCGCGCGTTATACGGTTATTTCGTTTGTCCGTGGTAAAAACTAAATGTAAAAAAAAAGACGGACAAACGCGTAACAGTAGAGCTTCAAAATGAAGGATAAAATATACAAATTCAGTTACAATATTATAATATTACATCGATCCATTTTCGGCCCCGCACATGGACATTTAACTAAAAGTAACTTTGAGGGTTTTGATAGTAGGCCCAATATATGTTTTGTACTTGAAAACTTGTTATATCGCGCGCAACTTTTTAATCGCTAGCGTAAAAAAAAAATATTTTTAAAAATTATATGTTTTTATTTTCTATCATCATAAACGTGTTCAATTTACGGAAAGAAAATATTAACGACGGTTCAACAGTTTTAATTACGTTAACAGTAGTTAACTATACATATGTATGAGTGTATTATATAATACAACTGTATTTCCCATCTTTTTGTTCAGAATTTGAATACAACAAAAATGGGTGTGGGTGAATTGCGGCCCGGCGTGTCGTTTCCGGTGTTGGAGACCGGTGAATTCCGGCCCGATAATATTTTAGCCGTAGGTTAGTTGCGACCCGACAATATTTTAGCTATAGGTGAGTTGCGGCCCGAATAATTATCATTACCTATGTACCTATTGACTAGTAACTATAGTACGATGCGGTGTTGGCTATACATTTAATGATAAACGAATAACGGTAAACAAATTGTTCGATACGTATGGCAAGTTATATCTTTATATAATGTAATAAATTAATTTTGAATTAGTTAAATCGTTAAGTTTTAAGTTTTTGCCAAAACAATAGAATGTTATTATCATTATATATTATATTCTAGAAACGCAAAATATTATTATATTTATTAGCTTATTTTTCACACATTTTCTTTTTATTATTATTATTTTGACCAAAACAATAGCTAAAAATGAAATTACTAAACGGTATTATTAATTTACGGATATTTTTTTTTTATTTATATTCTTGAAATGACAAATATTAATAATATATGAAAAAACTAGAAAATACGTAGAATTAATAAATTAATGTTGTGATGTTTATATACATGTACTATGTATATTATATATTATTTATGTAGTATATAGATTATTGTATGGGCTGTAACTCGTACGTACCTCTCATAAGCCCGGTCCACAAATCGTCCGTTATTTAGGGTTTGGGCCGCAACTCACCAAGACCCACAAAAATACGCTGAGATGGTTAAAGAAAAAATAAATGTAAATCCGTAATTTTTTTATTGAATAGTTTGGCTCCTTCTTATTATCCTTGATAAAATGGAAATAGAATTCAGACGTACACTTTCTTAAATCAAAAGCCCAGTTGCGTATACACATTGATCCATACGCGTATAATTTATTACACTACATTAGTTAATGTCTATTACTACGTTGTCGTCTTAAAATCGGATTTCACATGCCTGTACCGTTCGTTGATCATTATAACCTCGACGACGACAACGACAACACGACGCCGCGGTATTAAATTATTGTTTTACTAATATCGTTGGTTTTGTCGGTGTATATTGTGTAGTACGCAACGCGGTATAACGGTTGAACATTTGTCATGACGTTTGTGACGTGATAATAAATTTCTAGAATTCAAGTCGTGCACTCACACGCGCCTTATACCATCGCATAGACAAACACCCAAACGCATATATATTGTAATGGGGCCGTAAGATGTTTTTCACACGCGGATTAGGCCATGGATCGATTGAATTTGGTTTTACATTTACTTTGTCTTCGGTGCGATTACAATACATAATTTTCAACGCAAATATCGCAAAAATTATGCACAATTATAATAATAGTAATTTTATAATACGCTATCACTTAGTCGTGCTTTGGGATCAAATTGATCGAATTCCATCTGCGCTGCGGCCTTGATAAATATTAAAATATTAAATATTAAAAGGTCAATGCATTTTTGTGATTGATGAAAAATGTTAAGACTATTGAAATAAACCCATTCATATGCAAAATAAATGATTCATCTAACGTATAATACTATAGCTCAGACCAACGTATTTAGTCAAGTCAAAATGTCAAATAAAAACCATCTATTATTTATTATTGATATTAGAGATTGTTAAAAAACACCGTTGAAGTATGTTTAGAAGTAACTACATGTCCTATCGACCTGCTGCAAACCTTACGTCCCTTTTTAGATACTTTTTTGAAGAACTAATACAGTCTTGGTAAAAATGATGTATTGCGCGTAGAATCAAACGACGTTAAGAATCACCGCGACCGTGTGGTTTCTGACTTTTAGCGGAGATCGATTGGTAAAAAGAAAAAGTTAACAAAACGTCTTTACACAGAGCCCGACAAAAGAAACTATATTACACAATTGGTGACAAGAAACATGGACATTTATTGTTAATGAAACTTATAGAAGAAACAGGCGATTAGAGATATTAAAAATTCTCGTGGTGATTGAACAAACACGACATTTTTTAGGACGTTGATCGAACAACATTTGTACTAAATGTTTTTTGTCTCCGATGTCGGATAGATCTAGCCCGACATCGATAAATATCGTCGAGTATGTATAAAAACGTATGCGGAAAGCCATTGTCGACTTGTTATTACAGCTCCTCAAATAAATTATCTAAAAAACAAACAACTCGAGTATTAAATAATACGGCTGATAATTTGTTCAGCTTGGTTCTTCTAGTACACTCAAGTAGAAGTATTTGAAATTTTTAGGTATATCAATCTCTAAATTTAAAAATAAAAATATGTACTAAATACCGTTGGCAAAAATTGAAATATAATATTCTGTACTCAAATCGTTGTTGGATATAATGAAAATATTTTAAGAATAGAATAATCATTTTCTAGATAGAGTACCACCTGGAATTAATCCAAATAGTTTACGTGTACTCTTAGTCAATAATATATATCAGCTAAAATAATTTTCATTATGATGTTAAAATAAATAATATTTAATGTTTAAACCGTTTATTTCATGATTTAAAGCTTGGTATGGGTTTGTTTTGTTTATTTCCCTATCCGTTCGATCAATAACTTTTAATCATTTAATGTGCATTTATTGCAATTCAACTATACTTATACTTATAACAGTTATCATGTTAGTAAAATATAGATTAACTAAATATACAGAATTATATTTTTATCATTTGAAATCAAGTCTAATTTAATGTCGACGAATATAATCTAAATAACCTTTGGTGAAGGGCATGCTAAGGTATGTGCAGAGGATGAAATTTGTGCATGAAATGTTTAACAATTCTGATAAAGATCGAAGATGTAATGACTGTTATCGATAATAAACTCAAAGCAATAGTTACGTAAGGACAATCATACGATTTACATTTGCAAAATTCATGATTCTATGCAAATTAGACTTTTAACGAGTAATTTTTGGAAAGAAGGCGATTGACTAAACGTCAAAAAAAAAAAAGGAAACTGTGGGTGTAATTAATGACGCGATTGCTGAGCTAATCAATGCCGTGAAAATATGGCAGAACGTGTTTAAAAAGGAAATTATCCATTAGCAAACTAACCGTGTTAAATAAATGCTTGTTCAATGTGCTATAATACTATAATACATGTATCATGTAATTGTGTATTAAACATCATTCAAAACAATTATTTTAAACTCATAAGTTCACCGAAAATTAATCCTGATTGAACCATTGAAATAAATAGTCCCGCCATACAATAGTTACATTATTATTGTAAAAATAAATTATAATTATCACATTATTGTAAAATATATTATATAAAAAACTCTTATTAACCAAAAAAAAAAAAAAAAAGGTGATCTTTGATATCAAATAAGCATAATAGAATATAAATATATAATGTATTACATTTTAAAATATACAAGAAATAAATAATAAAATATACACATATACATCAGCTTAATGTTATACACTCAATAGTTTTATCGGTAAACTATTTTTTTTTTTTTTTTTAACTAAACTCATTGCAACTTTTATGTTTATAATATTATCGATCAATTAAATTAACCCCAAACAACTCCGATAACTTACGGTTTATCAAACAGTGCATTGAGTGCAAGCAAACAATTATTTACTTGAATTCGAGGAATGAAAATAACTATAAAAAAAAAATTGCAAACAACCGTTAGCAATACGCAAAGTCACGTATACGCATCGCGCGCTCCCGGTTAAAACTAAACGTATATAATTCTACAACGTGCACCAGGCGGTCGGTATTGAAACAGGAAAATCTTACGGCACGGACGTCGCGGGTGAAAAATAAGATTGTTTTGTTGACATCGTAGTGATGCGCAAAAAAAAAATAATAAATAAAATTGTAGCCCAGAGTTAAGCTGTCTGATGGATTAGTTGATTGTTGTCGTTTAGATCCGTGCGACTACGTCACGTGCGAATATCCCGAGATATGTCGTCTGGATTACGAGAGACGCGCCAGTTGCGTGTGTTCGGAATTCTGTAGCGATGATTTCATTCCGGTCTGCGGCTCCGACGGCAGAACGTACACAAACGAATGTTTTATACGGCGACAGGCGTGCAGAATGGTACCAGACCTAAGGATCGTATCGCACGGCCAATGCGACCAAGGTACAGAGCACTCGTATAGTTTTTATATCTTTTTTTTTTTTAATTTTTTTTTTTTTATTATGTATATATATATTTATAAACTTTTATTTGGTTAAACGCAAACGGTAGGAACAAAAACGACGTTTGTGGTTAAACCATTATTTCAATACGGTGCGGTTAATGAAAACGTGTACGCCTGCGTACACCTAATTCCGGAGTTTCGGAATTTGAAATTTTAATTCGAACTACGCAGAGTGAACCTTGCTTACCGATTTTCAGAACGATTAGTACAAAACCCATGGGGTTGGTTTTATTTTTGCCTCGTTGCCGTGTGGTATATACTTTTAACCACATTTGGGACAATAGAGACAAGTTCCCGTTCTCTATCATTAAAATGTGTATTATAATTACTCACTCTTTCGAAACGGTTTTTTTTATTCTTTTCGAAACCCTACGTGTTTTGTTTTATAAACTGTACTCCGTACATCCATACCGGCTTTTGAATTACTTAAAAGCCACAGAGCCACAATGTGTACACCTTTTCATTTTCAAACAAAAAAACATGTTCGAAAAATTTCGTTTGCAGGCATAAACCCGTGTTTGAATTTCACGTGTTGGGAAGGATCGCACTGCGTGATCGACCGTCTGGGCATCGCCGAATGCCGCTGCCCGGAACCCAACCTTTGCGAAACGTCGGTGCGGCCGGTTTGCGGAACCGACGGTTATACCTACGAATCGAAATGCGAATTAGAGCGTAGCAGCTGCAGCAAGAGGTCCAACGTCAAATTAGCGTACGATGGACATTGTGGTGAGAGCTACACGTCATAATAATTATACATGCGTATCATATTATACCGGGTACACTAACAAAATCTAGATAGTTCGATTTGTTAGAAGTCGGGGAGGAGGGTAAAAGTCCACGAATCATAAAGTTGTTTTCCAGGACATGATGCTTTGAGGTAAACTGCATAGAGTATTGTTCCACGTATTCATATTTTGCTCAAAACCAATACAATAAAACGGAAAAGCATTATGGTACCTATGTATATGTTATGATTTATCGAGTATGTCTCTTTTTAAATCCCATTTCCACTTTACGTAGCATATATTAATTTGTTATATTAGTAATAGAAATAGTCGAATGGTTCATAAAGATAAATGCTTGCAAATTCTATTTTTTCTCATTTAAGTAAGCCACTGTTCCCTTTCCTGGCCTGAAGCTCACATTGTTATTAACTTCAATAATTTTATATCTTAACTAGAAATGCATATCAAAATAACATAGACAATTTTCCACCAATATTACAATGGCCGTCGTTGTAGTTTTATGAGTTGAGATGCCTTATAATAGTGTTATTACTCAGTAAACTATAATTAAGTTAATCAATCCAGTGCTCGACTTGGCAAAATTATAGAAGGAGGACTCTATTTACTTTAAAAAAAAAGAACGTCCCCAAAACTGGCTGAGCGTTATGATTATAGCGTAATAATAATAGGGGGACGCTAAAATTTCTGAAAATAAGTTGGGGTAATCCGTTCCCCTGTGTTCCCCCTCAAGTCGAGCACTGAATCAATCTCATACAACCATTGGGGAAACAAAAGAAATGCAGTATATCGTTACTATAATATTCGGTTTAAAAACCATGGTTTACCTACTCATATTTTCTCTTATATACACTACGAGAATAAAATAAAATCTATCACGAAATTAAAACCAAGTAAATAAGAACAAACCAAGTCTAGAAGTTCGAGGAGTAAGGATGATAGAGCAAAGGCACAACTCATACCCGCCCCGCTGCCCTGATCTGCCATCAAGTCGATTGTGTCGATTGAACCATGCGCGGTTCACAATATTATGATTTATTTGTGCAGAAGATGGAAATCCTTGCCGGGAATACGTATGTAACTACGGGGCCTCTTGTAGAGTAAGCGACGGAAAAGCAGTCTGTGAATGCCCTTTGTGTTCCGAACATCATAACCCCGTGTGTGGTACTGACGGCGACACGTACAGTAACGAGTGCAAGTTGAAGTTCCGTGGTTGTCAACAGAAACAAATAATTGGAGTGGCTTATAAGGGAGCTTGCAGTAAGCAAACTATATCAACCCTAATTATTACCGCTGCCATTAGTCTATATAATTATAAAAATAATGATAATAATATTTTCAGGCGATTGTTCGAAAATGAATTGTCAGTTTCACTCAGTATGCGAAAGTGACGGCATGGAGGCGAAATGTGTTTGTCCTACGTTCAAATGCGCAAACGTAAGCACACAACACAATCACGTAAATACAACAGCTTAACCATAAATCAGAACTAAGTACATAAGGTGCAATCGTATTATGCGTACTTAATGTTTTTCAATTAATCAAGTACAATGATAATCCTAGTAGAGAATACATTTTATCCATGCAATCAAACATAGTGATTCGTACGTATACACTCTACGATCTAAATGGCATATTTTCATAATTTCTAATTTCAATGTCGGCCAATAAACATCTTTACAAAACTTAATCACGATACAGTCACAATATTGTTACTTGTCTAAATAGATCAAAACATAACGCATTTTTATGATTTCGGTCATTTCTTTGTTCGATATTTTCAACGTCCCTTTTAAGCATCCCTTAACGATTCGCGCTTTGTACTAAAACTTATATTTAATATATTTATTTACAATAATACCCGTATGGGTTATGTTAATTTTCATTCAATATTTATATTAACTCCCAACTCATTGCTTGTTTAATGACGTTCGTTTTGTACTCATAATCCTAGTATTTATGACAGGAAGGTAGTTCGCTTATCCCTGTTTAATTGTTAACTATTTTCTATAGTGATACTTCAAACTTTATTCCCTACGAGAACATACGAGTACTTAACATAATACTATTACAATGCTAAGTTTACAAATTAATTAATAATTATTAATATACCTAATTGTTCACTGAATGAATTATAAATATTTAAAATAAAATATTAAAAATATATCATACACTTTGGCAATGGTACAACAATGGATGTTTTTCAATATAAAGTGCATAATGTTTATCACAATCATAGAAGGTGCATGACGATTTACTAATTACATTCATTATTTTTATACAATTAAGGTTTTTATTTGCACAACAATTTAAAATCATTAACTTTTAGCTAATTAAACATATTTTTTTTTAAGAAAACAAAGTTTAAAATCTAACTATTATAAAACAAATAATTTTTTAAGTAATTACTAAATTTACGTGAGACACCTATGCATGTACTCAAATAATTGCAAAAATCAATAGACTACTTATAATTATTTATTTACAAAACTCTGGTTAAAGTATTACAATATAATTTTTAGTAATGCCAAACATACAGTCATAATTATATCTCAACTATAACTTTACTTATTAATCACGAGATGAATTTAATGGTGACTTAAAGTTTCTATTTTATTTTCAAAAATATAAGTATTTTGAAATTTCGTTTGTTATATACGTAATAGATTGTTATTGCAATTAAGTTTACGGTAAAACATACTCGATAGCGTATAAAAACTTTTATTGCATTCTATTTTTAATTCAATAAAACCTTCTGGTAGATTATGAAGTTTTGAACACGCGTGTCCTATTGGCTTTGTTCAATATAATTAAACCTCGACAACTTTTGTACTCGTATACGTTCATCATGTACCACGTTTATAATTTTACTATTTACAGTTGTCCCTCTCTCACCATGAATTGCCCATAAGTTATCTCGATCTAAAACCAATCACAAATAATTAAATAATTAAATAATATTGAAGTATTAAACACTATAATTGTACGCTAATAACAGAAATAATAACCGTGTAAGCGTTTTGGTAATAAAAATTATATCGCTACTTCTTCCGAAAGTCAACATTTTAACAAACGGACTAAGACTCATCTGACATTTGATTTTATCGAATTGAAAATAAATTAACCATGGATAGTGATATATAGGTGTACACGAGCTTGTGTTTATATATATATATATAATGAATATATTGATAAGGATCAGCTATAATTGATAGAAATTTCGGAAATAATTGATTGTTAAAAATAGGAAGACTAAGCCAGCTGTTACGTACAACCAAAAATCATTAAACCAGTATAAATGGTTACAATTAATTTAGAATTTATTAAAACTATATGAAATCTACTCTGACAGTTAATTAGAATGAACACTAATTTATGTATCCAGGCAAGCGGTAAAGTTTGCGGTTCCGATGGTATTACGTACACAGACCTTTGTCATCTACAAAATTCTAGCTGTGCAACAAGGAAGAAAATATTTGCTGCTTACGCGGGCGAATGCGGTACGGTGATTAATTCTCTGAGTTTCCTATGTTACCTCAAAATCACACGCATTAAATGATTTTAGGGTCGTGTCACGATCAGAAATGCAACTGTCCTAGAACATGCGTGGACACAAAATCCAAAGAACCCGTTTGTGGCTCTGATTTGATCACTTATAACAGCGAATGCGAACTTCTTCAACAGTCATGTGTAAAAAATGGCACACAAAACTTAACGATCCTATTTTACGGCGATTGTAAAGAATCCTCGTCCATCGGTAAAGATATGTTTGCATTATTTTGATCACTCCCGAATTCATGATATATTTCACACTTCTATATAACCCTGTCGTAAAGAAGTAGTTCAAGTATTAACAATGAAATTTTGCACTACGCGGTGCTCTATCATGCAGGTAAAATATTGAAACCTCATGAATCGGTCGATAACAGCGTCTACAGCAACAACGACGTATGCAAAGATATCAAATGCGACTTTGACGCTACTTGCGAAGTCGGTCCTGATGGGTTTCCTAGGTGTTCTTGTATATTCAACTGTTCTACTGACACTTCACCTGTTTGCGGTTCGGACTTCCGAACTTATAATTCGTTATGTCAGATGAAATTAGAAGGATGTCAAAGACAACAAGAACTTCGGCTGAGACCCATGGAACTGTGTCAAGGTATGTGTGCGCCTGTATTCTGTGTAATAGATGGTTTAAAATTTGAATATTCGAGCGTCGTGTGTTAAGGCATGGAAGTGAAACCTTGCAATGGTAAGAAACCTTTGAAGGATCATCTCAACGGGAGAGAATTAGACTGTGGCCACGGCCCTGATAGGCAAGATTGTCCACCCAGCAGCTATTGCCATCAAACCTCTAGGTTTGCAAAATGTTGCAACAAATCCGATCGTGGTAATATTTCTTAGTTTTTCAATGCATATTGATATACGTGGTAAGAAATACGATGTATTATAATAATATTTTACTGTTTGTTTAGAATCGACAATCATTTTGGACAGTTGTCAAAATTACTCTCATGGATGTTGTCCTGATAAAAAGACACCGGCAAAGGGACCGGAAAACCTAGGTTGCCCTTCATTATGTAACTGCAACAAATTAGGTAGAAATTAAATTTCAAAAACTTCACAACACTTAGAACTCCAATCACTTTAAAATTTATTTATTTTAGGGTCGATGTCAGAAGAATGTATTGACAGTAAATGCATATGTAAATCTGGAGTTGGAGGAGAAAAATGTGACCGGTGTGAACCCGGATATTGGGGATTACCGAAAATTTCATTGAATCACCACGGGTGCATTCGTAAGTAATATTAAAAGAAAGATTATATCTTAACATTAATTATACCACATATAATTTCAGCTTGTGGGTGTTCTCTACTCGGTTCAGTACGAGACGACTGCGAACAAATGACCGGTCGGTGCGTATGTAAACCGGGAGCTATAGGACCTAAGTGTAATAAATGTGAAGATAGTTCTAAAGTCTTAAGTCCTGCTGGATGTGTTTCAGGTATGTATATCAGAATTAAACCTAATCAAACATAGACGTTTTAAATCAAGATAAAAATTACTATTGAGTATATATTAAATTAATTTTATATATATTATATAATATATATAAAACACTGTCATATATAAAAAAAAAACCTATTCTTCATTGTGTACTGTTTTTTTAACTATATTCAATAATAATTTGGTTTGTAGCTGATGAAGCTATGCAAAATTTAACATCTTGTAGTCAACTAATATGTTATTATGGCGGTGTGTGCGAAATGAACAATGACAAACCATCATGTGTATGCCGGGCAACATGTGCTGAGGACGCAACACGTACAACTGTAAGTCTATTACTAATGCAATTAATAGTTGACATTTGAATCAAAATTTAATATTTAGTTAGTATGTGGGAGTGATGGACAAACATATAGTTCTGAATGCCAATTAAAATTGTATGCGTGTCGCTATCAAAAGGACATTGTTGTAAAATCACATACCTCTTGTAAAGGTACTTGATATTTCATATAGTGTAAAACGTTATCTTAATGTTACTAATCGCAATTTTTTTTTTTTTTGTCAGATGAAAACCTTATACCTGGCACGGAAGGACCGAAATTTACTGAACCTCAAGACATCGTCATTTCGAAATCGACACGACATCTACTGTTTTCCGAGCTGCCCAATTTTTCTTATAACACATCCGGTATCTATGATATTGACATTATACCCGAAGTCCAAGACTTGACGGGAAGAACTACGTCAGAATCTACCGATAGAGATATATCCATATGCAATCCAAACCCATGTCAAAATGGCGGTGAATGCGAAGAGCTGAATTCTAGTGGATTCCAGTGCCATTGCACTGTCTCGTACAGCGGTACCATTTGTTCCAATTTGGAAGAAATTAAAGGTAAATCATAATTGTTTAACAATAATGGATGGCTTATCATCACACCCCTAAAAAAAAAATTAACATAATTTTCAGAACACAAATCCGCTGCTTTCAACGGGCATTCGTACGTACAGTTGAAAAAATTAAAAGCATATCACAGGTTTAGTTTAGAAATGGAGTTTAAAAGTTTCTCGGATGACGGTATTTTACTGTACGACCAGCAGCAATCCGACGGATCTGGAGATTTTATATCAATAGCAATAATCAACAAGTTAGATATCCCTCGATGATACCTTCCGAACATCTGCGGTGCAAGACTGACTATTTTTGTTTCTTATAGGTTTGTCGAATTCAAATACAATCTGGGCAACGGAGCCGTGGTTCTAACGTCCGTGCATCCTATCGTGATCGGAGTACAGCACAAGATCGTGGCCAAACGGTATCAAAAAGATGGGCTGTTGCAATTCGAAAACTATGAGCCAGTGCGCTCAGTTTCCATGGGTTCGTTGAGGTCATTGGACCTCAACGACAACGCTTACGTCGGATACGTTCCAATAGTCCACAAAAAGTAAGTGAAATATAATATTTTACCAACTACGACAGCGATACAGTTATTACGAACGCATGATTCCCGCAGAATATTCGAGAACATCGGCGTGAAATCGGGATTGATCGGGTGCATATACAGTATGAAAATCGGACGCTACGCTGTTAACCTTTTGGGATTCGAAGACAACGATTTGGTGACGAAATCCGAAGGCGTAACGGAGTGTCAGAAAAGTTGTACAAACGGCACGTGTAGCTGTACTGGTAGGATTCCCAACAGTATTTGATTCGATAGGAATTATCTTTTATTATTACGTTACGATGGCTATTATATTATTGCACTCGTTCGTATATTTGTGTCCCACGCAGGCGACACGTGTTACGATGACATGGCTTGTTCTTCCGAGCCTTGCAGCTTTGGGTCTACTTGCGAATCGTTACCGGGCGGTAGATACGCTTGTTTCTGTCTTCCCGGGCTCACCGGTCCGAACTGTGATAAATGTAAAATGTCGACGTCCTGAATAATAAAATACAGTATATTGCTTACACAACGGTTTTCTTTCGCAGTCGAGTATGGTTTGACCAAATATTTCTCGCCGGAATTCAACGGAAAAAACTCGTTTCTCAGCATACCGCTATCCGAGGATTTGCGCAGAAGTACACGGTTGGAAATATGGTTTGGCACAACTTCCGACACGGGCCTGCTGTTGTATTGTGGTCAATCGTACACCGGACAAGGAGATTTTATTTCCGTTTACCTGTCGGACGGCTACGTTAGACTGACGTTTGATTTGGGCAACGGTAAAACGAACATCAGGTAAGATATGATAGGTATTATAGTATTGTTATTATCTATATATCATATACAAAGTGGCTATTCATACCGCAAAAAAATAGGTATGATATGCTTATTATATATTATGGTATACCTAGATGCATGTTACATAATTGCGATTATTTTCCAATTTATAGCACCGACAAAAAAATCGTTTTTCTGCCCGAATGGAATTTGTTGAAAATCAAGAGATTCGACAATCAAGCTTCTGTTCAGCTGAATAATGGAAACATCAACACCATCAGCTCTAGTTCTCCGCTCGTGGAGTTAAACCTGGAGCTCCCATTGTACATTGGTGGCGTACCGTAAGTTGAACAATAGTTTCAGTCCTTTCAGATGACGCATGGGATTTCAAAGGGTAAAACTTTTTCCTTTTTCCAGCCACACCTTGACAGTGAACAAAGAATCGATGGCCAACAAACCGTTTTCCGGCATCGTTCAGAGAGTAATACTCAACGAGAAAGCGTGTAACCTATCTGCAGGCTTCAACCAAGAGGTGACTCATTACCGAGGAGCTCCTTGCGGTTACGCAATGTGCCTGAACGGTGGTACGTGTTTTCCCGTTCTCTCGAGGTTTCTGTGCCATTGCGGTCCACAACACTTTGGGCCATTGTGCGAACACAGTGAGTATTCAAAACAATTTTACTGACACAAAAAACACATAACGGTATCACGTAAAACGTCGCAAGTCAATAACATATTGTGTTTGTGTATATAGCTCATAAATTGTAATAATAGCTGGAGAAAAGCAATTTTACCCGACGAGCTCAAAATTCGATTCTTGGTAATTAAGAATATTGTATATAAAGAGAAAAGACTATTCGTTGCAGTTCACCACGATCTTCTTCGATTCAAGTTTGTATTTTCTTTAGGATTTAATTTAGTACTGTTATTAATTTTACCAAAAGTTCCTAGAAGTATTTTCATTTACGTTAATTCCAAATTTTAATACATTATATTATAGCCAATATGAACATTTTATAAATGTTTAATGTTATAGTTTTAAGACGATTTTATGAATACGTTTGTACATGTAAAGCATAAATAAATAAATAATTTTCAATATTGTGTACAAAATCATTTGCATAACTGTATAATACCTACTATTATTACACCAATATATTAATATACTTAATGCTTACGAGATATTCAATATGATAATTGTACTATGTTGATACCAATCACAGATAAATAACACAAAAACCAATAAAAAAAGTTAAATTTAGGTATTATATTTTTGTTATAACATATGTTGTTTATAGTGATTTCTAGACTGAACTATGTAGATTGGTTAACTCGTTTTTTAAAGATAAATGAATGCTGAAATGAATAAATTTTTATTTTTATGCTATGAAAACTTGGTCAACACTGAGCTTAATTAAAATAAACCATTTTATAAGATGAATTCAACGTTTACAAGTTAATTACAAAAAATATTAAACATTAAACGATAATTATATTACAAAAAAATTAAATCACCATGAAACTTAACTGAATTTTATCAAACTTAAATTTTTACCACTTTTAAACCCCTCTTAGAAATATTACTGAACTATCATCATATCTAAATTTAACGATTTGTAAGTATATATATAAAAGATCAAACACATTCAATCTATAAAATTAATTCTTAATTTTTCAGTTAATTTGTACATATTACATTGCTAAAATAGATATTATAGTAAACAAAATGTTCTGAATAAATAATATTTTCCAAAAACTAAAGATATCAATGAATAATTTATCAGATCAAATAAATATTGATTTTAAGAAGAAACTAGGTCAATAATTTGAACGAAATGATATTTCAAGTTCTTTGATAGAACGAATCATCAGAAATATTAAGGCACATGTGTACAGTGTATTTGATACATTCGAACTTGATAATTACTTCACCATGTGAGTGATAAACTACGATCATAATAATAATAAAATTGTATATAAATTAAATATTACAATAATTACGTACATCGTCAATGAGCATGAACACTACAAAATGCGATTTTATGTTACAGTTATACAGTTAACATTAAATAAAAACTATAAAGCTGGGAGTTTTCTAAATATTGCATTCCATTTACAACAAACGAAAGCACAATTCGTTTTATAACATTAGAAATAGAATAAACAATATTTTTACACATATACAAATTTACAACATATTTTTAAAATGTTTGAGATTTAAAGGCACATTTTTATTATTCAATGCCTTTCTCATAGTATTTCACTATTTGCACATGGCGTGATGTTTTTTAGTATTTTTCGACAAGTATAAAAAAGTACGAACGAAAAAATAATTTATACCACCATAATATTACAGTCAACATTTTTGATAAGCTCTATTTTATCGTTTTATTTTTTCTAACCTTCGGTTTATTTTCGCGCATAAATCGAAATCGTAGTAAAAGGCACTTAAAAATTTTGTAGTAATATATTAACATTCTATAATGTTTTGAACATGTTATAAGCCAACTTCGATTTTTCTTTTATCAAAATGTATATGCTACTGTGGATTTTTATACTGTAAGGTCATATTTTGTTATTTTGAAATCATATTTTAAAACAATATAGCATGTAATTGGTTTCTCTTGGTTTATACAGCAAAAAATTCCATGGCAATAACAATACTATACATAATAAATAATGAGCTCAATACACTATAGTACCAGCCCTTGACCGTTTGCACTACATTCGTGTTCTAATTTTAACGAAATTTACAGTCGTAATAGAGAAACATGGACTCGCGTGTCATTGTTTATTTATATTAAATCGCCTTCTGTCGGTCTATATTATATTTAATGTTCGGATGAATTAATAGTTCCACTTAAAACAGAATAGTGCATTTTACAGCGCATAAAATATTTCGATTCCTTTGTGTTATACCTATTGGGCGAGGCGGGCGTGGGTATAATTCAGGCACGGAAATTTGTTATTTAAAAGCTCCTCGCGCACGAAATTAGACTGCTCCGCTCCAAACTCGCGTTTGACTGTGGCACTGCAAAAACCGTAGCACTGCTGAAGACCAGTGCGTACAATGCGCAACGTGTGAGTGGGCACGTCATCACTGGAGATGGTGACGTTTTAAAGGTAAAATTATTTTAATAAAGCAATCTCCCGCGGCGACCGCTGCGACGGTAATAATAAAAACCCAAAGCTAATAAAGAAAGAAAACCGTTCATATATAATTACCATAAAAACTGAAAAACTGAAGTAGCTATATCTTAATAATATAAACAACTAAGAGCTTTTCGAAGAGACTGCGCTAAGCTCGCCTGCAATCTCTCGTGTGCGCAAACTATACAACAATGCTACGGCACAGGCTTCTATTGTTCCCAAGGGCTTGTCTGAAAATCAATTTGTCGCTACTGTTTAATTTAAATCTATACGCACGTATTGCGTGGTTAACGATATTTTTCGTTTACGCCAACAAATAAAATAATTGTTTATCACACCCTTCTTTTATAAAATATATATATATGATTTTATTATGAAGGATTACAATCTATTCATAGAGTACAATAAGTAATATAAATATTTTTAAGATAATTCACAAGTTATATTACACACATAAGGAGGAAATCACATATTTGTAACATCCCTGAATATAATTAAGTACTTAATCTTTTAGTAAGTCCCGGCACCAGTTCCTTCTGAGGCGTCTAGTCGGGTTGCCAGGGAGTGCAAGTGAAGCTAATTCGTTGATCAGTTTGTTAGGATTAACTCGCAGTTTGGAGTGGAAACACTTTTATAAAATAGCAGCAGTTTCGTTGATGAATGGTAATTTGAGGTCGGAATTTAGTGACTTATTTGAGACGAACCAGGGTGCACCAGTTATTACACGTAGACAAATGTTTTGGAAAGCTTGAATAGTTCTTTTATTTGAGCTATTTGCAGAGCCCCAGATTGCGATGCAATACGTCCAGATTGATTGAAGAAGTGTTTTATATAAGATGATTTTAATAGGTATAGTTAAGTTAGAACGAAGGAATGGCCTTAAAAGATGGAATCTGGAATTAAGCTTTTTACGCTTCTCCTTTAGATGAAAAAACCAAGTTAAGCGCCTGTTAAGAATAAGGCCAAGGTATTTAACTTCGGTCGAGTGGGGAATGTTAATGTTGTTTTTGATATAGCTGGGCAGCTATGAGTCGAAATGCAAAAGTGACAAAGGAAGATTTGGATCCATAATTTTTATCTTCCAATTGATGAACCATTGTGGAAAAGTATTTAGGTGAGTTTGTAGTTCTTGAGATGCAATGATATGGTTTGGAAGTTTCTCCAGGATAATAAGGCGGTATCATCAGCATATGTTCCAACAAATAATTGTATCTTCAGATGTGGGCAGATCTGACGTGTTTTAATACACCTACACACTTTTTATAACAACGATATGTAACAATGGATATTTCTGCACATCGATGCAAGTTAAAACTATTATTATTATCAACGATTTTGGATATCGATTATATATTTTGTTCAGTTTCTTGAACCTATACGTCGATTGTTGCCAGTCTAATGTTTTATTATTACAAAATATTGAAAAAATTATTGGTGAAATAACGTCAGAATCGATCCATTGCGTCGTCAACACTACGATATCATAATATAATAACATATTGATGTTTTTTGCCTCATTTTTGTATAAATATATATATATTGTGGGGGAAAGACGTGAGAAAATAAAGAATCTGGATTCCTGAATGAATCGACGCGTGTGCACCTCGCTTCATACACATCGGCGCGCAATAATAGTCGAAAACGATTTCGACAACAATATAATAATAACTCAATAGCCGCCCCAACGAATTCGCCTGAAGCTTTTGCGTTTTTCTCGGAAACCGTTGCAAGTTGTATTCTAATTTTAACACATACATATACACACAACATTTTGACACAAGCATTTAGTAGAATAAAAAAAAAGCACATAATACTGCCGTAGTAGCAAACGTTTGCGCAGCCAACCGTTTCTTTAATCCGCATTATAAGAATTTAAATAAATTATTGCTGTGAAAATAAAACGAGACATTTTGCATAGGTTTTGCTACTCAAAAAAATCAGCTTAAAGCCTTAATCAACGAAGTGCTAAACATCGGAGATAATATATATTTTTTTTAGTAATTTATCGTCATAGAGATGAATCATCCGGCTTCGCCCGTGAAAACTAATGCTTATCTTTGTGTCGGGTTAAGTTAATATAATAATCTATTTATAGGCAAATAAAAAAAAAATTATATTCGTCGTTTTGTAAATTCCATTTTAAATCATATGAGATAAGATTTGTTCTTCGATATTAGGAGCAATGACAATCGTTTTACAGGTATAATAAAACTTTTATTACTTCGTTATCTAAATCACCCGTGAAATATATTTATAAACATTTTGGTTCTTTTGGATTACTGGATAATAAAGAACCGATCAAATGCTAAACTTGACCTTGAACTTAAAATTTCGGCATGAAATGTTCATGCTTGATTTCTCTTCCACCAAACTATATAACACAAAAAGGTGAATTACACAAACAGTATATGGATCTTGATGAGAACATTTAAAACAACTTTTAAATGGTTCAGGTGGATCGAATCTGCAACGTCATCTAAAAAAACTTTCATTTTTGAACAGCAGAGAAATAAATATTTTATAATTATCATTTCTAAATCGTGGTGACATGTTTTTAAACAATTTAATAAGTTGATTACAATTTTCTATGATATATTTCAATAATCCCTCAATTGCTCTCTCATCAGTTTTTTTGATGAAATTATACCATCATCGAGTTATCACGCGTTCTTCACAACTGGCCAAAAAGTAAATTTTAAGAAACTCTGAGTCTTTAATAGGTATTGGCATCAATTTAATGATTTAAAAATAACGTCTATTAGATGTGAGATCGCAAATTATGGTTACATCAATTGACATCATTTGGAAGTAAGAAATACATTTGCGGGTTTTGCGCGAAAATAATTGGCAATTTTAAAAAGTGCAGAGTATTTAATATCTGATGTATCATACATTCAAACGCAAAACAA